ATTTCAGTAGGAGACGGGGTGAATACAGACACAGCAAGTTTCTCTTCTGCAACAAATAACTAAACACTAACTAAACGTCTAGACTAACTAGAAAAGTCTCGGAAAGCAGCTGCAGATGGAAGTTCTTTCTCTGATCTGCAGTTTTCCACCTGATGCACGTTCAGACTTTAAATAAGCACCAGAGCAGAAAAAGAACTGCAGGCCAGTGGAGCTGCAGCACTCTGCTGCAGAAGCAGATAACGAGCACCACCACAACAGTGACATGGCCAGTGAGCCAGAGAGTAGTGAAACACTGCAAGATGGAAAGGGCCATGGTTAGCTGGTTAGAAATGACTTAACTACAACTAAGAGAGGAATGGAGGCCACTGTTCTGTGCACTGTAAAAGAAATGCTAAAATGAGTTGCTAATTAAACCTGGAATGTCTGCGTGAGGAACACTATAATATTGTAGACGTGATTAAACAACATGCTGTGACATTAAAAGCACCAGAAACAAAAACAAACCTGGGTGTGTTCATCAAAAAAGTCTGTTTCTTTCTTGTCAGAAGCTGCAGGCGTGCCTCCTGCAGACGAGTCAATCCAAAGCTGCAACAGCAAAAAGGAAAACTTGTGTTGTAAATTCAAAAGCTTTTCATATTTTTTGAAGTAGAGTAGATCCTGAATTAATGATGGTTTTGTTTATAAAACAAAAGGATGGTCATTGGTTCGATCCATGGCTACTTGAGTCTGCATGTCAGAGTACTTGGGAAAGCCACTGAATCAAATGTTAGACAAGGTATATTAATGATCTGGTGAATGAAGCTTGTAGTACTTTCAGTGCTCGGTTACAGTAAAAGTCCATTTACCATGTACTTTGAACTAGAACTGCCACATGGCTCAAACACTAATAATCCTTTTATCACTCTTATCACTGAGCCTCAATGTACCAACAACTCATTAAACTAGGAGCACGCAAGCCTACGCAGAAATAATAACATCTGCAGTGACGTAAACATTTCCTAAACGTTTTCCCTTCATTGATACTCACGTCTGTGCCATATTTAGACAATGCAGCATTTGCTAGCTGTCGGATCTTCTCTCTGTACATCTGGGCAGCACGACTGTTATACTTGGCATTGGTGTCGTTTGTGGAGCAGCCATGCTGGCGGAAGAATGCCGTCTTCAGATTTAAAAAACAGAAATGACATTTCAGAAGAATTAGAAACCACAGACGTGTCGTACCAGAAAGCCACACTTCACAAAACATGGCTCATTTAGGTAAAAGACAACAATCGTTTTGTTTTTTTATTTGAGAAAAACCTCATTACACTTGGTACTCAGGTTCAGACTTACCGCATTGGCGTTACCTCCAACCTGCATACACCTAAGTTGAAACCAGTTCCAGTTGGAGTCTAACTCAGTGGATCTGCGGAGGAAAGGGGAACAATGTGGAAAGTCAACATGGACAGATTTACTAACAGTCTTTCCCAGAACAAAACCCTCCTTCTGTGTTAAAATATCATAAACCGACACATTTTTAGATCAGCTACAAAGCTGAGGTACAATGAAGTTTACCTGATGAAACTGAGATGCACTCCCAGTGAGCGGTGGATGCCAGAGCAGTCGATGCACAAGAAGACACCATATGGAATACTTGCCCAACTGGGGTTTTTGGCAGCACAGTCAAAACATACCTATGCAGACAGAACATCAGCATTTTAATGAAACATTTCTGCCTCGACCAACCCAAGTGGTCACAGTCCATTACATTTTCCTGCTGCTAATCATGCAATATGAGCAAGAGAAGCAACATCATCACCAGATAATAATGTTGCCAGTCAGTTATATTTAAACAGCTCGTTTCAACATTCCTGAAGACTTTCTCATTGAATTTACTGTCACAGAAAAGCAGCAATGACATAGTTTAACATGGAGCTGCTGAGTGTTTACACACCGTGAAGAGCCAAGAGGTGGAGCATTTTTCAGACTGAAAGTGAAATAATGTTAAATATTGTATTAATTACTATTAATCGATTATTAATATTAATTAATGTCTCTACACCATCATATTGTCTGTTTTCAGCAGCACAAAACTTTGCCTCCTATTAATGTCAGAATAGCTTCCAACAACACAGAATAAAGGTAACATTTTCATGCCATAGTTTAGATCGCGCATGTCTAATTTTATTTATTATTTTGTTGTTTGTAATGTTGCATGCACTTCCTTAGAGATGTAACTATAAATTGCATTTATCAGCCCAAAATGCCTGTGATTGGCCTGTTCAGTATAGTCAAGTCCAGCAGTGCATTTCCAATTTTTCAAATTGACTATAAAAGAATGGATCAACTCCAAAAGAGCTGAAAATCACCAAACCTGCAGACCTCTTTTAGGGTTGGGAGATGGAACCTAGAATTTCTAATAATGACTTCTTCAAATGTTGATGGCATTTAATCACAATATTACTGAACTAAAAGGGTTCTCCACCCAAAAAACACAACAACTCCTGTGTTCATTACGTCCCTGCATGTCATTCTTTCTTGTCTATAGCTTAAAAGGTTTTGAATGAATTCTAATAATATTTTGTAGGTGTGTACTTTGAGCTTCAGATCGATTTATTGACTTTCAAGGAGATGTCAGAGTTCTAAAATGACATGATATTCTTGCTGGTAATGTGAAGTAACATGTATTCATAAAGAATTACATAAAAACTATTACTACATTACTACTGCAGTAAGGGCATTACTGCAAAACTCCTGTGGTGACTAAAATCTTAACTAAAATTAAAAAAGCAAAAAATAAATAACTTCAAAACTCGACTTTGTGCTTTGCATTGAAAAACCATACAATATATACAGTTGTTAAAATGAGAGAGAACTTCAGGTTGGCTTCATTTACTACGTCCAGCTTTTATAATGGGATAAAATGCTGATGCTTGGACTTTCCAACACCACGTTTCATAATACTTCTGTGAAGTGCGTTTCAAAACATCCACGTCACGCACATGGCTGCCTGAGGTGTGTTTCACCCATTTCGACAGAGCTTTTGTGTTGCTTCTAGGCAGGCAACGTGCCAGGAAGCACAATTTCTACAAAGCACAGTAATTAATGAATGAATGTTTTTGACATTACTGCTTCCATTTCTACTACTACTATAAGCACATGTATACAAGAAAACGATACCCGATCTCTCATTACTATCTTTGCTGTGGATTGTAAAGACCGATATAGATGATCAATTTACTTAGAAAATTGTACTGCACAGTATAATTGAAGAAATGATATTCAAATGATTACTGTCATATATAGAGAGTCGCAGTGTACTGTTCATTCATTAAATGATGTCAATAAAAAACACATGCTTTCAATGAAAAAATAAAAACGCAGACATTTACAGCTCTGACTGTAATCCATTATACATTTTTTTTCTGCCTTTAAAGAAAACGTTATTATCAAGTGACTTCATCTTCACTCTAACCTGTTACACACTTACTGCACACACTGTTACATACCTGTTCATACTGCACTGCTAATATGAAAACTAACAGAGTCGTTAAAAGAAATCAAACGAAATCTCATAAACAGCAGGACAAAGGCTTGCAGGGTCATATAGCCCAAACGCCAGACTCGGAGTAAGTAAAACATCATTCCTGTGTAAAAATAAATAAACAAAAATAATATTGCTTATGTATTTCCGTCACTTACTTTGAACGCTTAATGACTTTACAGTACCATCGTCTTTTATAATCTAATTTTAAACTATACTGTCACTCTGTAAACCGTTAGCTAGAACACCTACCGAACAAATGACTGTAAAACCGAAGTTCTGACTGACAAACGTTATGGAGCGCCAACACATCAGACTCTGCTAGCACTAACAGATACTTATCAATGAAATGAGTCAAATTTCACGGCTTTCAAAGCAAACCTAACGACCACTACTAAATGAGTCCCCAATATCGGACATATCAAAAGTTTAGTCTATTTAGTTCACGATTCTCCCATAATTTTCCCGACGTGGCACAGCGGAACAAGTTAGCTTCCTTAGCTTACACATACGTGGCCTTTATGTTAGACTACTTTACCGGTAGGCTAGTAGTCATTAGCTTTTGCTAGCTGTCTTACCGTGTAGCCGGGCCTTGCTAGGTGCTAGAACACGACTAGCTTCCCAGGTAATTTCTCCTGTCCAAAGCTAATCATGGACTGCCAGTATAAAAAAGCCTCACAAAGTAATACACAAGCAATGATGGTGAGTATTCGGTTACCTTGTTGGTAGGAACAGATCTTAATCTTTTGAAAATGGTAAGGATTTCGGTCTTATTTGGTTCCGTAGCCATCTTGACACTGACGATTTCTATAAGCTGACGTCACTACGGCAACTAGTGTGGCCCAAAACCCAAAAAGGTAAAAAGTCATCCGTGGTTCACCGACTTTAAAATAAAACAAGTCGATTAATCATCACATTTTTAAAAAACATTTTCATTCGCACAGCATAATCAGCATTATGTTCATAATAGAATCAGTACATACCCTTGGAAAAAATGCATACAGTCAAACATGTCATTTAATGTAAACAAAACAAAACAAAAAAGTTAGAAGAAAAGGCTTCTATAAACATCCTCAAGGAACAAAATAAACATCAGAAGAAACTGTCATATGTAATGATGACTGACAAAGATAGACCTGTATATATCCAATCCTATCTTTTACTATCTATCTATGCATATGTATATAGATAGATTGGTCATCATCACATCACACAATATGCAATCATAAAAATCAGCACAGTGCAAAATAAATGACTTGACTTGATCATTTTGACCAGTGGGTCAAATACAGATTGTGTCTTCATCATTCTAGCATATAAAATCATTTTCACATAATACAACCACATAAAACATTTCTGATGGTCTGATGAGATCAGGTTATTCTTGTTAGTTCATTCCCCGCCTCTTCTGTCCCAGGGATTGAAACTGGCTGAACAAGATTTTGCACATACAGATTCTTTCAGACATCATGGAGGCAGGTGTATTTCTCCTGCTGCTGTTCCCATTGTTGGGGATTGGGTCGACTCTCAGCTTTTATGGAGACAGCATTAGTTTCATGGCTCCAGAGAAGGAAATGGATGGGACATTTAAGGTAATACAACATAAGTATATATGCTGAAACTTTCACTATATTCTTTTAATATTGAGATTTATCATGATAGTGAAAGATGGGCAATATGGATCACAACACAGATTAGTTTACACTCAGTGTAATAATGCATATTTTTAAAGTAGTGGCATTTGCAAAAAGATCCTTTTTAAAAAAAAAAGAAATTAAGTAACCATACAGCCACGTCGCTAGTTCTGAAGAAACCTAATTGGAATGCAAAACACTTGCATACAATCCAAACTCTTGTGATGAAGAAAATAGTTAACACTTTCATGCATGTTGTATAGTAATTTCAAAGCTTTTCAATATTTTTGTGAGTAAAAAACTTCAGAAATCCCAAATGGTGGATAGTAATGAAAATGTGCCATCTCTGTATCTGTTAAAAGAAATATACAAGAAATGTGGGTTCATTTGTCTTTGTTTTCTGTCAGTTCTTGTGTTTGGACACATTCATTTTTGTAGTTAGGGTTCTGTGATGTCACCATGTCTAATTAAACGCAATCTAAGACAGGACAGGAGGAAGACCAACATATAGAGTGTGAAACAGTTAAAAACAGAAGAAATGAGGTTTTACATTTTTGTTTTTAATTAGGAATTTGATTAATTAGTTTATCAAGCATCACAGAGCTGAAAACATGGAGGAAATGCATTTACGTTCCTTCTCCTTTTTGTTTATTAAGAAGTGATAAAACGAGATATCTAAAATCCCCTGACTAAAACCTTTGACTCTGAAATGAAGCAACAGTTTTAAACCTGGTTTTATCTGATGTTTACATTTCTGTTCTGAAAACTACAGAAATCTGGTCCTTTCAAAATACAACTATAGAATAGCTTTCACAGATGTTATAGTTTCTACATTTATAAGCATGCAAGAAACAACAACGACTTGGGGAACAGGGGTTAGGGAGTTGTTGTTATTTATGATTTCAGCCCCACAAAAGTTGGTTTGAAATCATGAAGGAAATTGTTCAAAAACTTGGGGGAAAACTGTATTGACTTGAATATGCAAACAATGCAGATTTTTACAATGTGCACAGAAAATGTATTTTTTTTTTAAACCCTCTAGGTGACCTTTTATCACCGGCAGAATGGCAAAAGTAACTGTCAGGATCAGTCATCTTTCTCATGTGATAGTGGCGTATGTGCAGGCTTTAACGAGTCGAGCGTCCTGCAAACAGACCAGGACAGCACAGGCCAAGGCCGCTGGTGCCAGTCTGAAGGACACACAACAGCAACCATCCTGACTAATAATGCCTCCTTGTCTCTGAGGTAAGTCCAGGGCACAATAACACAGCTTATCTGATTTATCGTTTGCTAGTTACTCTGGCGTATCTCACAGACTGAATTGAAGATTGTATTTAACAAGCATGATCTAGTACAACTTAAAAATGAAGAAGTTGAGAAAAGTCAGCCCACTTGCAGTGGGATCCGTAGTAAGTGGACTCGTACTGAGGACTGGCCGATACATTCTGAATTGTTACCCTATTATTTATTCTATAGGCTGATCAGAATTGATCTTTACTTTGAAAAACGATCTCTAATAACAAAGGCTTAAAATGAAAGTACACATCACACCCTGCATTTCCCACAGCACAGTATCTGTCAGTGTTGATTTGAGAAGTGATATTCATCTTCTCATTCCACCACGCTGGCTGACTGCCACGCTTGCTGGGACACTTGAATAGAACACAAGTTTGGCATTTGGAATATTTTTGTTGGTATGACAGCCCAGCCTTTTATGAGAAACGTCTGTGTGTGAACAAATAAAAGAACAAAAAGGGAGTTAACTGTAGGATCAGAATGGTAAAGGGATTAGTATAGTGCCTTTCTATTCTCACACACACACATTTAGATGTTGCTTTTAACGATACTTAAGCACATTTACACTCACTCACACTACGACGAATGCATCGAGGGCAGCTTCGGGTTCAGAATCCTGCCCAAGGACACTTCAACACATGGACAGAAGCAGCTGGGGATCAAGCCACTGACCTTCTGATTGGTAGACGACCTGCTCTGCTACCTGATACACAGCTGCTCCATATCAGCTCCTCATATTTTGGAAACACCAACAAATCACGAATAAATGCAAGTTTGTCTTGTAGTGATATCTTCACCAAAATACTCTCTTATCAAAGATGCATATAAAATCCAGACCAGAGTTTTTTCACTTCTCAGATGGCAGCCATTGTTGGTTCAAGTGACGCGTATAATTACGAGCAATGAAATGTTTCACCTCCTTTTCAGGAACTCTGGCTGCTGCTGGGTGTCTAATGTTGAAGGGAAAACCCAGTGGACAACATATGCTGAGCTGGACCTGGGAACTCGATCTGATACGCACACTGTCAACAGCTGTCCCGTAACAACAACAGTGTCTTCTTTGCGGTACATGCCATTTTTCTTATTTGATTCAACATAAAATCGTGAATCTGGAAATCTTACGTAAACATCACTCGATGATTAGTTGTTAAATTACTGTAATATGTACTAATATGATGCCTGTTCTTGCAGGGTGCCTCAAAACTGTTTTTCGAGGATTCGTATTCTGGCACATGATCCAGATGGAGATGAAGTGAAATGTCGCTTTGCTACACCTGGTCCCACAAACTTCGCTCTAGACGAGGTAATCCAGACCAAACGGGGGCTCTAATGACCTTCAATGTGGTCATCTGATGTAGCAATCATTATAGCATTGTAATCCACTCATTTTAGGCACAGCATTTTGATATATTAATCAAAATGTTGGTTTCATCAGGCCCAAACACATATTTTCTCCTGTTGCATCCATTGTTGCGTATGGATGTGAGAATGATCAAATTCTCGCAAAGAATAAAGTGAATGCCTGAGTGTATATGGCTCGAACTGTGGAAGACCTTTTTAAATGGCCAGTAAGACGAGATGAGTGCTATTATGAAAAACAGACAATTACCATCAAATGTTATGCAGCTGTTAACCCTTCTGGGTGTCAATTAGTGTCTGGCACCAGGACTCTGGCACCAGGACACTGGCAGCAGAGTCTCTGGGTCCTGTTGTATTATCACCGTTTGTTCTTTGTCACAGTGCAAAATGTACAAAAATGTACTTGTACATAGTGCATTTCTAATCAGTGAGCTACAGTGATTAGGTCAGGGGTATTTATAAAGGTAACATACTTAATGGACGCAAGGTTTCCCATTGCATTCATCAAGATGAGCAATGATTTATCTTTCAGTGGTTTTAATGCTTTGATTGATCAGTATGTTCTGCATGTTGACAATATAGTTGATGTAATAGATACAAATTTATAATAAACCCATTAAAAAAATCTAATAATTTAACCAACTATCTCCGTTAAGCTCATCTTGTAATCTCATTACAATCATTTGCATTTGCTTACTTGCAAAGAGAGAGAATGAAATCTTTTTTTTTTTAGACTTTAAAAATGTGTAAAAGAAGATTATTGTTATGCTTTAAGCATAAGATCAGCTCTAATAGTATGCCTTTGGATTTATTAGAAGCATGTGTTTATGCACTGATAATCTGAAGGACCTAAGGGGTGAATCACATATAAGTTAGCAGAAGTAGAATAGAACTTGTGCCGACTAGGCAAGTGATAAAAGAAAAGAAACAAAACTGACCAAATGCAAAACAGATGACTACTTTGAAGTACTCGAATGATGGTAGGACAAGGGCACACAGGAGATCAGGTGATGCAGCAAACAGGAGTGACTAGGAGTTGGACCAGATGAAACAGAAGAAATGAAACCAAAAGCAAAACGGTGACATAGTAACTATGTTTGGAATCCCGTCTGTTCCAAACTGATGTGTTTAATAAGCTCTGAGAAAACAGCACCTCTGTCATGTCCATTTGTTATTCGTGTCCCTTTAGACTACATGCATACTGACAAGTACAGGTGACATTGAGACTGGAATCCACGTGTTTGAGTTGATGTTAGAGGACTTCTCCACCAACAACATCACTTTGACCTACTCAGATGGAACATCGGTGTTTCGTGAGGCCTCTGGCATGAACTCACCTCCTCTCTGCAAAGTAAAGCTGCAGTTCTCAATTGAGGGTAAGTGATTCATAAAAGTACATGGTCAGTGCGACACAAACATAATACACGTCTCACCCCAAAAATACTGAATATATATAAACACAAGAGGAATATCATAAACAAAGTCATAAATATCACAAAAACTCCACAAGGTCATGTGAAAAAGGTATTTTAAAACATTACCATTAAAACTTTATGTGGTTTGGCGATTATAAAAACCAAAAAAATAATGACTCAATACAATGAGTCCCAGCCTCCCCTCGAATCATCTTTTATTTGTGTTATAAGAGTTTCTCACATGGTGTAACTTGTATATTGTATTCTGATCTTTCAGTTGAAAACAGCAACAAGTCTACCTATCATTTAACCCTGTTTATTAAATGTACTAAATAGTCTAAGAATATAAGAGTATACAGTTTAATATAAAATAGTATAATAGTATAATAAATATTCAAGACAAGTGAAATTTAAGTACAGTATTTGGATACATTTGTTTACTTTAGCTTCCAAAGTTGCTTCTAATGAACCTATCGCTTTAAAACCTGAACCATGAAATAACTGCCAGAAATCTTTAAGTTTTTGATAATGAAGTGTTTGTTGAACCTTTAGACAAAATATATAAAATTTTAATCTCCACATATGTGAGTTTTAATTTGTATCACATTTGCTACATAAGCCATATTTTTGCAATTTAGTGCTTAAAAACGTGTCATGCAATTTAAAGTAGAAGTAAAAAAAACAAATCACGCTGATGATGTAAAAGTCTCAAAAACACGTATCAAATATGACACGCTGGGCTTTAAAGGGTTACATTTAAATAAACAAAGAAATTACCTATTTTTTTCTCAAGTTACACTTTGTCTCTGAAAAACTCAAATATGTTTCCTTTACGTTGGTGCTGACACAAGCAAGAGTCATTAATATCAGCAAAGCAAGGTTAACTGACTGGATAATTTATGACTTAACTGGCAGCTTGAGGACTGTCTCACGTTTTATTCTGATGTGGTGACTGACCAACCAACTCTAACTCAGAGAGGCCATTGTATGGCTGCACAATACCAGAAACTGTCAAGTCTCATAGAAACAGAACTTACATTCTTTCTGCCTTGTTTGTGTTTTAGTTCTCCTGCCAATACCAAACTGTGAAGCCGGTCATGTGCAGCCCATATTCTTGTACAGAACCCCTTCACACGGTGATATTCTTCATGCCACTGTGGGCCAGACATTCCAGCTTAATGCTGAAGCTGAAGCTCGCCATGCCAGGTGTTTACTTACTGAAATTATTAATTATGGCACTAGCTTTCCCTAAACAAACACCCTGTAATGTTGATATAATACTCAGAGAATTTCTGTGGATTTTGTGTGTGTGTGTGTGTGTGTGTGTGTAATGTTTATTCCTTTCCCTAAAGCATCCACGACTTCCAGGTCAGTGGACCCCAGAACATGACCAAAGTGTTCAAAGACGATCTGCTCGGAAAAGCAGAAGTCACTCTCAGCTGGACACCACAGCTCAGTGACCTGTACAGATATGTCCCAGTCTGCTTCACTGCAGAGACAAATGACACGTGAGTGCCTTTATATAAAATCAAGCATTTTAAAACAATAAAGATTATTCACAAATGGAAAAAAAAAGGTAGACAGATGCCAATCTTCTCAGGAATGCAGTGGGGCAAAAAAGTATTTAGTCAGCCACCGATTGTGCAAGTTCCCCCACCTAAAATGATGACAGAGGTCAGTAATTTGCACCAGAGGTACACTTCAACTGTGAGAGACAGAATGTGAAAAAAAAATCCATGAATCCACATGGTAGGATTTGTAAAGAATTTATTCGTAAATCAGGGTGGAAAATAAGTATTTGGTCAATAACAAAAATACAACTCAATACTTTGTAACATAACCTTTGTTGGCAATAACAGAGGTCAAACGTTTACTATAGGTCTTTACCAGGTTTGCACACACAGTAGCTGGTATTTTGGCCCATTCCTCCATGCAGATCTTCTCGAGAGCAGTGATGTTTTGGGGCTGTCGCCGAGCAACACGGACTTTCAACTCCCGCCACAGATTTTCTATGGGGTTGAGGTCTGGAGACTGGCTAGGCCACTCCAGGACTTTCAAATGCTTCTTACGGAGCCACTCCTTTGTTGCCCGGGCGGTGTGTTTTGGATCATTGTCATGTTGGAAGACCCAGCCTCGTTTCATCTTCAAAGTTCTCACTGATGGAAGGAGGTTTTGGCTCAAAATCTCACGATACATGGCCCCATTCATTCTGTCCTTAACACGGATCAGTCGTCCTGTCCCCTTGGCAGAAAAACAGTCCCATAGCATGATGTTTCCACCCCCATGCTTCACAGTAGGTATGGTGTTCTTGGAATGCAACTCAGTATTCTTCTTCCTCCAAACACGACGAGTTGAGTTTATACCAAAAAGTTCTACTTTGGTTTCATCTGACCACATGACATTCTCCCAATCCTCTGCTGTATCATCCATGTGCTCTCTGGCAAACTTCAGACGGGCCTGGACATGCACTGGCTTCAGCAGCGAACACGTCTGGCACTGCGGGATTTGATTCCCTGCCGTTGTAGTGTGTTACTGATGGTGACCTTTGTTACTTTGGTCCCAGCTCTCTGCAGGTCATTCACCAGGTCCCCCCGTGTGGTTCTGGGATCTTTGCTCGCCGTTCTCATGATCATTTTGACCCCACGGGATGAGATCTTGCGTGGAGCCCCAGATCGAGGGAGATTATCAGTGGTCTTGTATGTCTTCCATTTTCTGATGATTGCTCCCACAGTTGATTTTTTCACACCAAGCTGCTTGCCTATTGTAGATTCACTCTTCCCAGTCTGGTGCAGGTCTACAATACTTTTCCTGGTGTCCTTCGAAAGCTCTTTGGTCTTGGCCATGGCGGAGTTTGGAGTCTGACTGTTTGAGGCTGTGGACAGGTGTCTTTTATACAGATGATGAGTTCAAACAGGTGTCATTCATACAGGTAACGAGTGGGGGACAGAAAAGCTTCTTACAGAAGACGTTACAGGTCTGTGAGAGCCAGAGATTTTCCTTGTTTGAGGTGACCAAATACTTATTTTCCACCCTGATTTACGAATAAATTCTTTACAAATCCTACCATGTGAATTCATGGATTTTTTTTTCACATTCTGTCTCTCACAGTTGAAGTGTACCTCTGGTGCAAATTACTGACCTCTGTCATCATTTTAAGTGGGGGAACTTGCACAATCAGTGGCTGACTAAATACTTTTTTGCCCCACTGTAAATGTCCAAGGAAAATCATCCCAAAGCCAGACAATTCTCAGAGTGAAAAATTATAGCTTGCTTGGAAGGACTGGCAACATAGCTGCAAAGTTGTATGTGAATAAGCCATACAACTTCTGGAGCAGTGTTGTAAATGGTAAATGGTAAATGGCCTGCATTTGTATAGTAGCGCTTTTCTAGTCCCTAAGGACCCCAAAGCGCTTTACACTACATTCAGTCATTCACCCATCCACACACACACATTCACACACTGGCGATGGCAAGCTACATTGTAGCCACAGCTGCCCTGGGGCGCACTGACAGTTGTTTAGACAGATGACACTAAAGTGGAGATTTGCTGAAACCCAAACACAGCATATTAGCAAAAGTGCCTCAGAACCATCAAGCACAGTGGGGAGAGCTGATGATTGAAGATGGTTTTGTAGCCACAGGACCTGGGCACCTTGCTGTCTTAGTCAACCATGAACTCCTTTGTATGTTAAAGTGTCCCAGAGTCAAATCTGACAATCAAAGCTTGGTGAAAACTGAGTGAAACAACACAATGATCCCAAGCACAGTGACAAAACTACAGCAGAATGGCTGAAAAAGAAAGAATCGTAGCTCGGACCACTACTCCATTGAAGTGCTGTGGTGGGACCTTACGGTTTTTCTTGATTGCTTTGACACACTCACAGCAGGAAAGTCCTTGTCACCACTTTGATGCAGCACATTTCCTCGTACACATTACACATTGTCACACACTGCTGTTGTTTCCACACATATTTTACTACCATGTTGATGCCCTTCTCACTTGAATCTACAACTCATCAAAACAGTCACAACTCTAGATCGATCACTACTTCCCTGAAAGAGTAGTAATCTGGCCATTCTGCTGCTCACTGGATATTTTCTCATTTCAGACCTATAAACCCTAGAGATTGTTGTGCGTTAGCACATCGTACATCAACAATGTCTGAAAACTCACACCGGTCCGTCTGTTATCAGCAGCCATGCCATGTTCAGTCATCCTTCAGCAGACTGTCTTCACCACGTCTACATGTATAAATGCTTTGAGTTCGTGTTGATGTGAAAAGTTGATTAGATATTTGGATCACTATAATGAGCAGTCTTCAAGTCAACATTACATTTAAGCTTGCTCTTTCCATATTTTCACTTAAATATCTTCTTTCTTTTTTTGTCATTAAGCCAATCAGAGATGAGGTGTGTTGTTGTCTTGGTGACCCAAGCATCTACCACACAAGGTTAGTAAACACCTGCTCTCTCTCTTGACAAATGAGCAGTGCGTGTAATAACTAAGTGCCATGGCAACAGCACAAACACTGCTGGCCATTTGTTCACTTGTGGTTCTATTTTGCTTCCCATGAAACCTCTTAAAGTGACAGTACTCCCTCTTAAAAAAATACATAAAAACAAAACCTAAACAACTTTTAAAACAGTGTTTTTCTTCTGTTTATGTCCATTACATAAGTAAATGAATTGTTTGTTTGCATTTTCTTATTCAACCTGATTTCCAAAAGATTTGGCATACTGTAAAATAAGATCATTTTGAGTGAATAAAGTTGGGACAGGGCAATATTTACGTCTGTGTAGAATTTCCTCCTTTTTTAACAGTCCCAAAGATCAGTTGTTGGGAGTGTTGTCCCAGTCTTCTCTGATACATGATTCTAACTGCACGACAGACCCTAGTCTCATTTGTTGTGTGTTTCACTTCCTGTTATAACAAATGTATTTAGTTGGTAACTGCAGGCAGGCCAGTTCAGCACACAAACTCTTCTGCTATGAAAGCATTGCCGTTGTAATATATACAGGATGCATCATAACCTCTGTGTTGTTCAAATATATATGACCTTACCTGGAAAACATGTAATCTGTGTGGGAGCGTGTGCTGGTCTAAAACCTGTTTTTAATGTAATATTACCCCGAGGGCTTAGAGATCACAATCTTCCAATATCTCAGCAAGAATCTGAGTTTTCTCCAGATCCTTTTCATCTTTTAATATTATGTACTGTAAATAATAACAAATTTGGCCTGCAGCCTAATTACATTTGGCCCGCGAAGCCACACCAAATTCCTATTAGAGCTGGCCTACTGGTATTATACAGCTAATATATATATTGTTTAGTATTAAGCTTTGCTTGTTCCATATTCAGTTTTTCAGCAAAACGTGTTTGAGTCCATAAGAAAAGATTCATTCTTATATCTGGAGGAATAAATATATTTCAATAAATATTAACGTTAGCCCGCGACTTTGTTCCAGTTTTGAATTTTGGCCCACTGTGTATTTGAGTTTGACACCACTGCTCTAACAGTTTCAAAATAGTCCTCTAGCTATTATTTTTGTTGCCCTGTCTCTACTTTTTGCTGCCATCAAATTCAGTATCAGCTAATATTTGTCCTAAAATAGTAAAGTGGATCAGTTTAAACATGTAACATATTTTCAATGTGATTTTTATTTTTTTTTTGGATTTGCAAATCACTCCCTTTTGTTTTCAGTTTACAGGTTACACAGCACCTAGGCTTTTTTTAAAATTGTAAATCGAGGTTATAAATATACTGAATAAAATGTTTCATTTCTTAGATTCTTTTAAATAATGTAATTAAATGCGTTTTACAAGTATAAGGTAAACGTTAAACACAGTTTGATTGAGATGTAAATGCATACATGTTGGATATTTTAGATTTTGGTTTCAGTCCAGTATAATTTAGTGGTTTTCTGCTAGTTCTCTTCACAAACTGACATAAATTAACCCAAAGATATTTCCTGTACAAGTTTGTTTTAGTTTGATTTCAATATTATCTTTGTTATGTTTCAGTTTTATTATCTAATTAATATTGTTATTTTGCAGGTTTTTTCACATTTATTTGTAGCTTTTAATTTCATTATAACATTGACTCTTATAACTAAGTAAAATCACATTTGTTTCTTTGCGGTTTTCTTTTTTCCTTTGTTTTCTTCTTTTATAATAGCTTTTTATTTATTTTTTAATGATTTTGAATATGAATATGTAGTAATCGTATGATAAAATACTTTATTCCTAATAGGTAGCTAATATAGATTGTGCTGTTTACAGGCAAGGCCACTGTTCATTGCTCAGCCAATAAGATGACAGTAGCCCTTGATAAAGCTTCCATGCCTGGCATTGACGAGAACTTTCTCAAGCTGAGTGACCCTTCATGCTCGCTCACCTCCAACAGCACTCACATCATGGGTGCAATGTCCTTCAGCACTTGTGGGACAAAAATTGAGGTTTGGAGAAACATTTACATTTCTTTGTAGATAAAAATGTTTTTTTCATTAATGAACAGCAAAATTTGAGTTTGTAAAATAAGCCAGTTACTGTATGTCGCAACGAGAAGAATATTGCGGCTCGATACACTGAACAGAACAACATCACGACCGTTGTTCATTATCCTCACGGCAACTAATTGCTTTTCCTTTGTTTGTCTTAAATACAGGATAAAGGTGATTATATCATTTTCAAGAATGCGATCAACTCCTTTGAGCTGGCTAACGAGGTTATAACTCGAAGGAAGACAGTTAAAATCGGTTTCTCATGCCAGTTTCCCAAAGCCATCAGCATCTCCAATTACTACAATCTCCACAACGCTGACTACATTTTCACCGAGTCCAACTTCGGAAGCTTTGGCTACACTTTTGAAATTTTCTACAACAGCAGCTTTACAAACAGAGTGGAGGCTAGTGCCTATCCAGTACAAGTCAAGCTGCTGGAGACTATTTTTATGGGCATCCAAGCTAGTTCAGAATTACCAAACGTGATGTTGTTTGTTGAGTCATGCAAAGCCACTCCTGATAACAACCCTGAAAACAGCCTCTCGTACTACATCATCAGGAATGGGTAAGTGCTGATGCAAAAAAAGTGCTGTAAAATTTAAAAAATGCTTAAAATTCCTTACAACTAAATTGTCGATAATATTTTCACAGGAGTGTATTTTAGCAACATTAAATAGCAATACTAATTACTACAACTTACAACTATTAAATGTCATCTTCCATTTACATTGCTTCATACGATTGACCTAAACCTTCTTTCAGGTGTGTAGAAGACGAGACAGTAACAATTTACCCATCTAATAAAACTGCATTCAACTTCGGACTTCAAGCCTTTAAATTTACTGGAAACTATGACCAGGTAACTTTAGATAGCACCAAATACAAACCTCTAACCTATACAAAAATATTACTCACACAGTTATATACTGAAGAGTATATGCATAACAAAGAAAATCCTGATATCACTGCTTTCCTGCTGTTTTGTATCCAATTTCCAAGTGTGAAAAAGCTTGAAAAATTATTTTGGTACAGAATCAGCAACATTTTTAAACTTTGACTAATAACTATATACAGATATAACAAAGTTACCACTGACAAGTGAAGTGAACAACACTGGTATCACTTCATGCCATCTGTTCGTAAGGAGGAGACATTTGGGAGCAAATGAACATTTTGCCTTCAAGTGTAAGGATTTGAGCGAGTTAGAGAAGGGCCAAATTGTGATGGCTAGAACATTTCCAAAATTGCAGTAATTATCGGGTTATTGGTTTGATTAAACAGACAAAAGTCAAAAGTGCATGGCAGTTTGTTGAGTATTGGGGATCTGATCAGTCAGGGTGCCCATGCTAAACCCCATCCATCACTGAAAGTGCCAAGAATGGGCACGGAGCAATGGAAGAAGGTGGCCTGGACTGATGGCCGGGTGCCTGTGCGTCACCTACCTGGGGAACACCTGGCACCAGGATGCAGTATGGGAAGAAGGCAAGGCAGAGGCAGTGTGATGCGACAGACAATATTATGCTCGGAAACCTCGGGTTCAGTGAGACTGATTAGACAGTTGGATGAGTGATGAAAACTTTCCGTACAGGTCAGTTCTGCTTTGGCAGCGAAAGGGGGACCAAGACAGTATTAGGGAGGTGGTCATAATATTACGCCTGATCAGTGTACATGTAGTTTTTAAGTTGTGGCAACTACCTGGAAGCATTTCAAGATGGGTAACTGGTGGTTAGACAAGTGCTTGTTATTCCAAAGCCTTTACTCTTCCACATTACAGGTGTACATCACGTGCTCTGTAATCCTGTGTGAGCCTGAGAGTCCCTTTTCCAGATGTGCCCAGGGATGTCTGAAGGATCCATCACGCAGACGTAGGCGAGGCCTGAGCGGGGAGACGGGTAGACACTACATTACCCAGGGCCCTCTGCAGTTTGTTGGGCAGCCTTTTCCTGATACAGCAGAGAACAGTCAGGATGTTCTGATGGAAAGGAGCGGCACGCTTCCAGAAGGTTAATCCAAAATGTATCAATCTACCTGTTTGATTGCCTCTCTGCCTCCTTACCTGCTTGCCAGCTTGTCCAACTATCCATGTATTGATGTCTTTCAGTGAGTCCTCCACCAGCTTCTCCAGGCACAAAATCAAGTGAGGAAGGTTGGGAAATGAGGAAGATCTTCAGCTCCAACATCTCCACCGCAGTCTTTGCCAGCGCCTTCTTAGTGTCAGTGGTGCTGTTGGGCATTATGGCTCGTTACTACAGGAAGAACGGAAGAGCAGAAGACCGCAAAGTTCTCATAGCTTCAGAATGGGAGAACTAAACCCAGTATTTACTCACAATTGTGTTTGTCTCACTTTCACATGATCACTTTCTTCAAAGTCTGTCTTAAAACAAAATTGCATCAAAAGCTGCTAAACAACCCTTAAAAACATCTTTTCATCTGAAGAGATGGCAGACACCAGTCCTGCCAAAATACTCTCAAATACCGATAGCTATTATGAAGCTTTGAAGTTGTAAGTAGTCAAATATTTAAGTATCTTCTACTGTTATTCTTTATGTGATCTTTGATGGGATAATAACATGAATGGGTAAAAACGAATTTAGCAGATGCTCGTTTGATTTGAACTGCACTGTTAATATTTTTTGTGTGTGGACAGGTAGTAGAGTCAGAATTCATTTTGGATGAAGGCTTCACTAGGCGGCAGCAGCAGAGCCTTTCTACAATTGGTCCATGACGGTGGGACTTTAAGACAGACTTGCTTAATTATCTCTTTTTTTAAGGTGATTAGTCTATATGTGGTGTCGTGGTCGTCTAGTCCTCTAGACAAAATGATTAGTTCTGATAGGGGTTGCATGTTAACATATCTAATACCTGTGCACTCACCAAAAAGCACAGGCTTTAAAGTAATGTCAAGAACAATTTATGACAATTCACGACCTTCAGTTCAAAGCTCGTCTCAAAAGATTAGTTAGAACTTCAAAGCAACATTGTATTCAAAACTGGTTTTGCCAGATTTTTTCATGCCATTATAGCATCAACTTTCTGGAAATGTTCCGCTTTCTGATTCTCAACAAAAGCTGCCGGCTTCTCGGCCAGAAAGTGTCTTTTAGCAACTAGTTTATGTACTTTATAGGAGCTTTGTTCTGGGGTTTTTTCTTTTGCTTTTACAAAACATTATTGTTTAAGAAAAGATAGTGGTTTAGGCTAATATTTTGTTTAAAATACTAAGAGCTAAAAGCCTGCATGTTGAAAAATTCCCCTAACACTCCACTAGATTTGGTTCTCTTTAATTTAGACATACATTTTCATAACTTTAAACAAAGAGTGAGATTAGCTGCAGATTCTGTGTTAGTGGCGGCGAGATTGGGGATTGTTTTGGCGTACATAAAAGAAATGGCCATCCTTCAAAGACAACACATTAATGTCTGTAATGTCTGAAAGTGTAATAATATGTAATTCTGTCATTTAATGGGATTTATTGGCAATAAATGGAATGCACTAGATTTAAATTCTACTTGAAATTGAAATCACATAATAAACACAATACTGGGTGTGTATGCATGTGGATTGTTATGTGCTTTCATTTATTTTATATAAAATCTGTTATTAAGTGGGCTTGTTTATTTGGACATGAATGAAAATCCAAGCCAAAGTAAGATTGATGATCTGGACAGATTCTTAGAACATGGCCTTGGCAGCATCTGACCAATCACAGAGGGGCCTTTCATAAGTCATATGACTCTTATTTCACAGAAAGTTTTCAGAATTATCCCAATTATACCACATACGTCAGAAATCTTATGATGTGGTGATTTAAAAAAATCCCAAGATCATAAAAATATACCAATAAACAGCAATTTCTTCAGTTAATATGGTGATTTACATATTTTAATTCCAGTTAATATTTTTATCACTGGGTACGCTCTCAGTGAAACACACATTTGTTCTTCGATCAAATAATGAACATTTAGAATCACATATATTATTAATACTAAAAATAGAATTACATTAAACTAATGCAACAAAAGCTGCTCAATAATTATCAAAAACTTCAATCCCCGCAGTTCAGGCACCTACAAGCGATTCCTGAGGAAGTGTTTTAACAAGGAAAATGACACAATGGGTCAAACGGTACTTCATTAACACCAATTTATTTTTTTGTTTGTTTCTTTTAAAGTTTATGATATATCTGTAAAGAAAACATCCAGCTCTCAAGTTGTCAGTTAATCAGCTATAGTGACTGATCTGGCCTGGAGGTCATTTTGCTTAGCTTTCCCTGTAACACACCAACGCCCACTACAGCAAAACATTCAGGCCTGACCAAACCTCAAAATATCCTTTAACAATAGTACATTTACGGCACATGGCTTAGAGGAATGTCTTGAATTGACCCCATTCATTGAGCAAGATAAAGGCCTACCACACCAGGTGCACGGCCTTTTGTTAACTAAGCAACTCCCACACTTACACTCTCTGTTCTCAGCACTGCAGTTTCCTAGGGACCTGAAAATCCCCATGTAACACATAAACAAACGTCATGTTATGCATTTCGATTTAGCTTTTTTATTAAGAGTAATGTTTAATGTACCCGGCGGCTGCTGGCTGGGCCTGCGGGCTCGTCACTGCATCCCCTGTGGCTTCTGCTCCGTGGCTGCTGACCTCATGTCTGGGGCTCTCCTCAGCTTTTTCCAGGAAGGTGGCGCGGTTACCTCTCCAGTGGTCCTCCTTGGGCTTTCGAACTCTGGGGGGCCTGTGGATGTCCGGGCCTGGGTCTCCTCCATGTCTGCTTCATGCTCTGAGGGGACCCCCCCCTAGCAGATTGTTAGAAGGATAAACCTTTTGAACTCAAGCGTGCTCACACACACAGGTGTGCACACGGTTGCTCACAGACAAACTAGATCTTCCTTAGCTGCTACCTTAAAGCATATCGTGCGCTGTCGGTCTTGTGTGCTGCTCAATAACATTCAATATTTAGTACTGACTGTTACTTACACTGTCTAGGTCATTGCTTTGATCTCTGTATTGTGTTGTTCTCTTGTTGCTTGTTTTCGTTTTTCTTCTTTTAACCGGTGATCCAACGGATTTCCTCAGTGTCTTCTGTCACTGTCCCCCTCCCTTCCCTCTGTTTTTCTTTCTCTCTTTCTGTCTAATTGTCTGTCCAATTTGTAATAACTTAAAATAAAATAAAATAAATAAACAATAATAATACATATCGATCAAGTGGACCAATATGGCATTGCTATATTTTCGCCACTTGAAAAAATACATCCGTTGGGCATCTTTCCTGGCCTTTAGCAATTCAGAATCGTTGTCTGAAGTACCAAACGGGACAGGCCAAAATAGAAAAAAGAAAAGAAAGTAGTGTTTAAGTTGTTATGTTATATTTTGTAATTTAATTTTACAAAACTGATGAGTGTTGTAGGAACAAGACAGAAATTGTCACCTAACAGGGTGTGTGACAAAGTGGAGGAGCAGTTGCAATGCTCTCCATTTGTCCCATATGTGTTTTTTTTTGCACACTGTACACATAATTCTGTTTCTATGTATTTGCTGTGATTTGCGGTTTGTCGGGTGACATTGCTTCACTCACTATCCCGGGTTTGTTTGTGTAAGCGTTCTGTTGCCGGCAAAGCAAACATTCTGCAAATTAAGACAAATACTCAGTTATGTTTCTTTATATTTTATTATGTTACAGATTAAGTCATTTCTTCATACTTACTTTGTTTCTCTTTTCAGTTTTCATGAGGGTCAGGTGTGGGGAAACGCCTGCCTGGTATTTCCTCATTTTAAAGTGCTGCTGATGTCACATCACATTACATTAAATTAAGTTCACTGTAAATAAATTGCTCACCTTGGAAACCTGAAATGTCTGCGTAGTCTGCTTCCCTACCACCTTCCTTGACGTTCGAGTCTGACTACTTCAAATCAAATCAAATCACTTTTATTGTCACATCACATGTGCAGGTACATTGGTACAGCACATGTGAGTGAAATTCTTGTGTGCGAGCTTCACAAGCAACAGAGTTGTGCAAAATACAATAATGTAAACAAGCAAAATACAAGAATGGCTACATCTGAAACTAATAAATATATGTACAATATATAATAGTATATGCATTTCTAGATGTGTATACTAAATATTTTTCTACGTGTGTGTGTGTGTGTGTGTGTGTGTGTGTGTGTGTGTGTGTGTACACATATTTTACAAATTAAATAGAGTAAACAATAAATAAAATATATAAAATAAAATATACAGAGTGAGACATGTGCAAAACAGTGGCATTACTGTACAGTATGGAGTGCATAATGTTAAAGTTCCAGTAGTGAAGCTGAGGTGTCTATGACGTGTTCAGCAGTCTGATGGCCTGGTGGAAGAAGCTGTCTCTCAGTCTGCTGGTACGGGACCGGATGCTGCAGAACCTCCTTCCTGATGGAAGCAGTCTGAACAGTTTATGGCTGGGGTGACTGGAGTCCTTGATGATCCTCCCCGCTTTCCTCAGGCAGCGCTTCCTGTAGATGTCTTGGAGGGAGGGAAGCTCACCTCCAATTATCCGTTCAGAGCACCGCACTACTCGCTGGAGAGCTTTGCAGTTGTAGGCGGTGCTGTTGCCATACCAGGTGGTGATGCATCCAGTGAGGATGCTCTCAATGGCACAGCGATAGAAGGTCCTGAGGATGCGGGGGCTCATGCCGAATCTTTTCAGTCTCCTGAGAAAGAAGAGGCGCTGCTGCGCCTTCTTCACTGTTTTGTTTGTGTGTACTGACCACGTAAGATCCTCAGCCAGGTGTACGCCAAGGAACCGGAAGCTGCTCACTCTCTCCACAGCAGCGCCGTTGATGGTGATGGGGGTGTGTACTTCTCTGCACCTCCGGAAGTCCACTATCAGCTCCTTTGTCTTTGCGACGTTGAGGGTGAGATGGTTGTCTTGACACCAGTGGGTCAGGGCGCTGTACACACACTGATACACACAGGGTGTGTATCAGTAAACAACAGAGTGAAAGCAAAATGCAACACAAAAAACTTCCAAATGCTGCGTCCTGATTGACAGTCTTGTGATCCACACCAGTTACTATTCCCTAATTTTTCCCAATTTTACACACACACACAAATTGCACAGTGCACACAAGTCTGAAAACATGGAGCTCATGTATCAGCAACATAACTTCAAACTGCTAAACTCAATCATTCAAATACCATTCTAAATCAGAGTTTTGTAAATCTCTGAACACAAAGTGCATCATTAGGTACACTTTGGTTAGGCCACAGAAGAAGACGAAGAGCGAGAGTAAGATTAGAGGAGGCCTAGCAGGCAAAGGAAGGATTTGTTTTAAAGTAAGGAAAAAAATGTGTATATGTTCACCTGATCAAAAGAGAAACCACTGTGGAGACTGACAGTCATTTGTACTTGAACTACTCTGCATCTCACTTGATTACCATCAGGATCAAACACTATCCCGCTGAGTGATGGTGGGCAGTTATTTCGAACCCTATAACATGAGATTCAACTGCATCAGAAATAATCTCAGGAAAAAAAATCTATTATTCCTACTTCAATGTTCACTGTTGTGGACCCTCCTTAGAGTAACACCTGGTGACCACTTACATATGCAGTACAGCAATTTAACCAGCCTTTCCATCTCAGCATCTAACTCCAAAATGAAAAGGTCTGCGGGGTCCATGTTCCGGTTGCAATCTTCTGTCATGTGAAGGCTGTGTGCAGGCAGGAGTGGTGGACCCAAAGTGCAGACACACGGAGCAAAAAGGTGAACTCAAATGCAACTTTAATGGTGGATGGCAAAAAACAGAAAA